TTCTTTTCTTAGGTTAAATATGAATTCCAATGTTTTGGGGTCCGATTTTAATAAGAATTTTTTTCCTATCAAAAAGTTTTGTGCCCTTTCTATGCTCCATACAATTACTAGTGCTTTTTTTTTTCAATATTTGAGTAGTTGATCTCGGCTGATGTTAACCTTCTTGATATGTACATGATTGGGTGTTCTTCTTGTGATATTATAGCAGCAATTGCCTTTTCACTCGTGTCTGTGGTTGATGTAACTTCTTTTTGTGGATCAAAAACTTTTATTACAGGTTTGTTCCTCAGTATCTTCTTTAGTGTTTCAAAAGCACTAGATTGCTTTTGTGTCCAGTTAATTTCATTATTTTCCTTGTATAATTTTGCAAATGGTTCTGTTACGTCACTGTATCTTGGTATGTACTTACTATAAAAATTTATTAGCCCCCAAAAGGATTCTAATTCCTTTTTATTTGTTGGAGCAGCTATTTCTGTTATTTTCTTTGTTAATCTATTCTCGGGTGATATGCCTTCTTTCGATATTTGATATCTTAAGTATGATATCTTTTGACAGTCAAATTTACATTTGCCTTTATTTACAGTCATGCCTGCCTTTTTCAATCTCACTAAAATTTTCTCTGTTTTATATTCCAGTTCTTCTTTAGTTCTTGCCTCTACACATATATCGTCCTGGTATATTATCATATTCTTATTTTTTCTAATAAGACTCTTTCAATAGCTTTCTGAAAAATATGACTTTAAGTCTTTACCCCAAATGGTAGACGAGTCCACTTTAGTAAGCCTATAGGGGTGTTTATCATGGTGACTCTCTTGAATTTCTCATCAATTTCTGGTTGTACGATGCCTTGAGATCAATTTTTGCAAAGTGTTCTATTTTTGCTAACTCGTGGCTTGCAGTTTCGATATTTGTCAAAGGGAAAGAGTCATAAACATATTTGGTGGTTTACACCTATCTTGTAATCACCACAAAACCTTAAATCTCCATCAGGTTTCTTTATCGTTACTATTGGTGATGCCCAATTGCTACCACCTTGAGTTACTCTTTCTAGTATGCCTTGTTGTATCATTTTGTTTAACTTGGCCATTACCAAAGGTAAGATATGTATTGGAACTCTTCTTGACTTGATATATTTTGGGTGATAATTTTCTTTTGGTCGAATACTTGCTTTATAGCCTTTCAATAATCCAATTTCATTTTCTTGTGCTTCCATAGAATTGGTTAACCTTGCTGTATCTACTTTTAATACATCAATTCCTAATAATCCATGATCTTTTTCACATTTTACTCCTGTAATGGGAATTACTTCAAAATGCTTCTCAGTTTCAAATTTGCCTTGAAATGTACCCATTATTTCTATAGTCATTCCATCAAACTGCTTTAATTGGATGTTGATTTTTTTTTTTAATTTAGGTCATTCCAATTTGATCCAGAAATTTTTCGGTATCAATGTGACTTTACTGACTGTACCAACTTGCATGTTAATTATTTGGCCATTTATAACCTTATTTTTTCTCTCTTCCTTTTTTGTGTATTCACTGTAAATGTTTCAGCCTCTTCTTCAGAAAGTGGGGGTTGTACTTTTTGTACTCTTTCTATTTTCTTTTCGTATTTGCATACGTTCTGAAAATGATCTCTTTGTTTTTGCAATTTGAGCATACTTTTCCTAAAGCAGGACATTTGTACTTGTTTCTCTCATGATTTTTCCACAGTATCTGCATTTAATTATGGACTTGGTCATGTTTTTCCTGTACACCTCAAATTCCTCTTTTGATTGATTAAATTCTCTAATCAATTATAACTGTTGTAAAAACTCGATGTTAGCTTCTAAACTCATACTACTACTTTTTAAACCTTCCAGTATTTTTCATTTGTGGTTTTGGTCTTGCAAAACTTCAATTCTGAGAAGAATTAATTTATCTTCTATAGTCATTTCCCGAAGTTCCAACACTTCAAATTCACAATACTTGGCACATTATTTTAATCTATGTAAGTACTGCATAATGGACTCATTGGGTGCTTGTCTTGTTTCTAAAATTCTTTCAGCAATGACCAATCTTTTCTTTGTTCTTATGTTCTTTTTTATAACTTTAACAATTTCTTCAAATGTCATTTCTTCTAATTTGTTCGGGTAACATATTGTCAAAAATTTCTTCACCGCTTCACACCCAGCAGTAGCAAGAAATAAATTCGTTATCTCATTCTCTTCTCCTTTGGTCTTGGTGTCTCTTAACTTTTTTTACTCTTGCAAAGTTCTGATCCAGGTTTCTATGTGTTCTGGGTTTTCCAGCACATTTAAGGATCCTATTAGAGTGAGGAAGCATGGTGGAGTAATGGATAGTGGCTCAGATTGAGGAATCGGAGAGCCAAATTCAAATTTCAATCGAATCCATTACATTCACTTACGTGCTAATACCCTTGGGAAAGGTATGAATCCTCTTCTCCTCCCTAGCTATGGGTAAATAGCAGGACAGACCAGGTTCTATAGCCTTGGATGGCAATTGGTCTACTGCAAAAAGAAATGGCAACCTACCGAGGGGAAAAAAAACTGCCTCGTCAGTTATGTATCGAAAGATACATGATTGCCTAAATGTGTATCACACATGACACATAACTGACTGATCGGTGATGCCATTGTTATGTTGGGTACATCTGTCTGTAGTAGCAGTCTTAGCACAGTTCTCCATGTTACATTTAGCAAATGGGTTTGCTGAGTAATGCTGTCTTGTTCACCAGTTGCTTTCTATTTATGCTTGTCCTATCTCATTTGCATATGATACTACATTTCTCTCTGTTGCTTTTGCCATTTTTTTACCTTTTCCTGACAGTCTGAACCAACAGATATGGTTTTACTAAATGCTTAGGCACAATATTGCTTGTGATTTCTCATTTTAATAATTTATAGTTGCTTATTGAAAAGTTACTTTCCAAATTAAATAATAGTGTACATAGTGAGTATAATCTTAAATTTTGTATTTGCTTTGAAGAAGTATTTGATATTCTGAGATAGTATCAAATGAAATGAGAAATGAGGTAGTACCAAATGAAAGGTGTATATATATATATATATATATATATATATAAGAAAAGACGCATATTTATTGTATGTTAGCTTTACTTGAAGTAATATTTTCTTGATCAACATGTTTTTAATCAAACAAATTGTTTCCTTCAATTCCGTATATTTTGTTTTTCCATTTTCATATTACTCCAGAAATATTCAAATACCTCAGGCATTTTTTTCTATTGTAAACAAATGTTTCATCCTCATGTTTTCTATTTAATCTATTGTTTCTTCTGCTCTTGGGTTATTGTGTAATTTACAAGACTGATTTTTCTTAATTCTTGTTTTCACTTTCTTTATTAAAAGTTCTTTAAAAATAAAAACCTTTTTACTTTCAATTTAATGTTATTCTTCTTGACTTTATGGTCTAAAATCTTTGACTAATGAATTTTAATTTCAACTTTTGTTTGGAAAAAAAGTCTGCAATTTAAGCAACATTAATATGCAAAGTAGGGGCTCTGTATCTGGCAACTAGTTTCTATTCTTTGGAGCTTTTTTAAAAATTACATTGGAAGCTGCCAAAGAGTGGGATTAATTATTAGCAGTTTATATTCTTATATCAGACCTTTGACCTTCTGCCTCAATATATATATTTTATGATCTGAATTGTAAAAATAGAACAGTATGATTTTACAAACAAAAAATGAGTTTATGAACTCCAGAGGAAGATGGATAAAAAATACAAGCCTGTAATGTCAGCATAAAAGTTCATAAACAATTTATATAAGAACCAACCCAGCAAAAGTGGTGTAGAAGTGATGTGAAAAATATTAAAATCAAATGTCATTATTTTTAGTTTAGAAACTTTGTAGGTAAAGTAAAATAAATTCTACATAGTTCAGATTGATTCATTTTCTTTTCATCTTTCTGTACAAACCAAATTGACTTTAATTATCTTCATTCATAAGTATCAGTTTGTTTGCCTTTTTATCTCTTGCATGTTGTTTCATATATTCAAACAAAGCAGAATCTTATCCATGATTTTTCTCTGTTTCACATGGGTTGTTTTTCTAAGATAACAATGTGAACTTCTGGTGAACTTTTCATTTCTATACAGCCAGTAGATTTGCAATGCATTGTCATTTTTTATATTACTCACATTCTCAACAACATCTGGATTGTTCCTTTACTTCATTGAAAAATTCCATAAAACTTGGCATTGTAAGTGTCCAGTTGTAGCAATAATAATAGTCCACTTTGGAAACACCCTTCTTAACAGAAAGGACTTAAGAAAGAAAACACTTTTTGTTACATGTAGGAATTTAAGCTTTTTGGGTTTTTTATGAATACAAGAAATGTTGAAGGGCTTCCATGGCAGCTGATCACATGTGATTCATATATTTTGCAGGGATGTTTTTTTTTCTTAATGCTCTATATGTTAAATGAGTTTAAATAGCAACTAGTCATGTGTGATTCATTTACTATAACAGATAAAAAATGATTTTCAGAAGCATCCATAGTGACTTTCATCTTTAACATTTCTTTAGATTCAGTTCCAGTTTGACCTTTGCTAAAGATACTGACAATTTTAATGAATTTTTGAAAAAAAAATGTGCATAAGAAAATTTTATAAAGTCCATGCATAACAATAGGTTATAAAATATTTTTAGGGATTAGATCAGCAAGAATAGGATATGTTTTTTTCTTTTAAAGAAATTAATGTTTGAGAAAATTTTGGCAATGGAAGTAACTGCATCCACCTATATCATAGGTTTCTTTGAGTTTGGTACTATTTTTTAGAAAACTTAATTGTCATGTAAATATAATCTTAGTGTATTTTATGACAAATGAAAGCATGACAGCTTTTCCAACATAAAGCCTCATCATTGTTTAAAGAGAGTCATAATTCAGTATCTAAATTGATTATGTATCCTTTGCTCATTTTTCATTTTTGTCTCCTTCTGAGAGAATGTATCAGTTTTTATTGCCATTGCAGGAAATGGGCCGCCATGATGACTTGTGGTCATTATTCTATATGTTGGTGGAATTTCTGGTGGGACAGTTGCCTTGGAGAAAAACCAAAGACAAGGAGCAGGTGGGATCCATGAAGGAGAAGTATGACCACACGTTACTTCTGAAGAACATGCCGTCTGAGTTCCGCACATTCTTGGACCATGTCAGTGAGCTGGACTATTATGACAAACCTGATTATAGCCTGTTGCACAATTTGTTTGACCAGTGCATACGACGCAAGTGCATCAGAGAGAATGACCCTTATGACTGGGAGAAAATCTCTGGGGACGGCTCTTTGGCAACAACGACAACAACATCCCCACCTGTGGCTATCAAGCAGACTCCTGGAGCAATCCCTGCGTGAGTAAAACAAAAAATAGTTACCTTGTGTTTTAAAATTTCAGTTTATAGTGTGCAAAAAAAATCTGAAGGGACTTTAAAAGGAAAGCCTAAAATATCTATAAAATCTTTAAAGTTGACTTTCTCTCTTTTCTATTTAAACAAAGGTTCATTCACTTATGACCTGCATTCTTGACTTAGAAAGGAGACAAAATAAATGGGTTTTCTATCTACTTTTATAGATTTTAGTTTTATTGCCAGGAAAATTTCTGGTCAGAAATTTATGAAATGATACTGACTCAGCTGTCTTCAAATTATCTTGTATGTAATTACATGTATAGGTTTTTGCATTCAATTTGGAAATGAAAACTTTTGGTTATATTTTATATATTGTCCAGTTTATGATTAAACAGTGTTCCAGTTAAAATGAAAAACATTCCTTTTTAAATGAGAAATACTTAACATTAAAGTAATGAAGACTGGTGAAGATTTATATTTTTGGGAATTATGAGTTTTACATATTGATAATAAATTAAGGGTCTGGTATGAATAACTTTGCCAACATATATTTGCTCTTAATATCTAAAGAACTTAAAAAAAGAATTTGTATCTTAATCTGATAAACTAAAAAATCCCAAATATAATAGTAATTAAGAAAATGTTTTCACTCTGTTAAACTGAAGATAATTGACTTCTGTAAATGATGTACTTGATTCTTGAAAGGATTTTTTTTCCACTTTTGAACTTCCATTTGATGATTTATATCTCATTCAGTCCAGTCACATTGATTATATGTGTTCATATTGTTCTGCTTTAATGATTCTTTTAAAGCAATCAAGTTGTAATTAAATCATTAGACCATTGACTTTTATGACGGTGATATGATGGTGTACATGTATGTGCATACATGTTTGTGTGTACTTATGCCTATATATGAAGTTGTGTATATATTTATTGCACATTATTATGAGAAGAAATATGAACAAAATTTCATTTCCAAATAAAAAAGTTTTTGCTTTTAGTTGTAGGCTTCTTGTTTTGAGGACAGAACGAAAAGAAGTGGATTAATGTTTCAAGTGGTGAACAATTAGTGAATGGTACAATTTGAAAAAGATAAGACAAGGATAAAGTTTGTTTAATTTTCTGACAAAGAAGTTTAGATGGTTTAAGTAAATAATGACAGAGGGTAATGGAATTATAAAAAAAAAAATCAATAAAAATGAATTTGGCTACTGAAGAAACATTTCCAATAGATGACATAACTGAGAAGCAAGCTAACTGTAGAGTTGCTTGTGGAATCTGAAGAAATTTAAAAAAAAAAATATTTTTTCAGTTACATTACTGTTGCAACATTCTTTATTTTGTTTGCACATGAATTTTATGTTTTTGTTATTTTGTTTTTTCACAGCCATCTTCATGGACCACATACTCCAGGTCATGGTGCCACAGATGTGATGGATGAAAACTTCAGCTACAACCAAGAAGAAGACCATGCTGACACCAAAAAAGGCAACATTGATTTGATTATTGATAATCGTCTCTACAAGAGTGAGATCGACAATCGACTCCGTGAGGAGCAGAAAGAGAAGCTCTATCAGAAGAAGCAACTTGAACAGCTTGAAAAGGATGAGTGGAAGTGCCGGTCAGAACAAGGAAGCAAAGAGGTTGTTGCTGACAAAGGAGAAATGCTCAAGGCTGACAAAGCCCAACTCTCAATTGCAGGCCAGAAATCATCATCTGACCTGGCTGTGTTGGATAATCAACTTCGGCACATTCTGAAACCCACTCCTGATGACCCAGGCTGCAGTAAGTGTGACTGTAACAAGGGGAGCTCAGACAAAGATGAGCAATTAGATGACAAGGATGCTCTGGTTGTTGATGAGGACCGCTGTAGCAAAGGAGCAGCTAGCAGTAAGGGTACGAAAGGCAGTGGAGAAGAAAAGAATGGGGAGACTCTCATTAAAGTTTCTGCCCACAGTCCAAAATCTCATGGTGCTAATGAACCCAAGGGGACTTTACTTACAAAGATAGCCGGTGACAGCCCAGAGAAGGAAAAAGCTCAAAACAATGAAGATAAGGAACACGTTTCAAAGCCAGAGCATGTGTGCAATATAACAGACAACACGAATCCAGCAAACCCTCACCAACCTCTGACTGCTAGTGGGGCCCCTACCCAGGGAGATGATAAGACACAAACCCACTTGGATGCAACAAATGCATTCAATGATGAATTTGCTACCAAGGCAGCCCCTTACACAGTGATCAGCCACTGGATTGGTATGTCGGCATTTGGATCAAGTTCTGAAGATGAACATGACCATGATCATGAAAGTGATCATGGTCATGACACCAAGGGCCCAAATGCTGATAGCAAAATCCTTAAGGTTAGAGACAAGATTAAATACTCGCACCTCAATACATTGGCAGATGAAGAGTCCATACGACCGGATAGTTCAAATAGAAACTCAATGACTCTGTTGGATGATGGCAAAGAGCCGTTTAATATCTTAGCTTGCTCAGAGGAATCATTGGATGGCCATGGGGGGGACACATCGGCCATTCAGAAAAGTAAAGATAATATAAATGCATTGAACTGGGATGAGTCTAAATGTTCCTTGCATGAAGAATCTTCGGAGCAAGCTCATCGCAGTATTCCAAGATCCTTCACGGTCCCGGATGGAAACGTCCACTTTACTCCGTCTAGTCCAAGCAAAATGCCAGAGAAACTTGTTAAAGACATTGGGAACTTGATTGGGTCCCCTCTCAAACACCCGTTCAGTGTAACCTGTCGTTTTCTAAAAGTGCGCAGCAGCTTATCGGAGAAAAAATCTTCGGGCTCGCAATCCAAAGCTGGAGGTCTTTTGGGCAAGCCTCCTCTTGCGCAGCTGCCCGTTAAATCTAGTCCAAAACATCATAAACGTGGTGACAGTGATACCGGTGTGAGTGACCACTCAAACCCTGAGTACACTGTGTCCAGGTTTTTACTTAGTCTAAAGAAAGATGATAAGTCATTAGATAATGTTGCTGTCGACATGAGTGGCTCTCGACCAGAGTTGGGTCTGGAGGCTGATGAGAACCATGCCGTATCTCCTGGGGAGGCAAGCATCACTCTAACTTCTCAGAAGGTGCTTTATAAGAATAATGATGGCGATCATGCCTCGCTGACTGATCTCCACAGTGGCCATACAGAAGAAAAATATAGCACAAAACATTTTCGAATAGGCAGTAGTAGGCAACGATCTACATCAGAATCTCGAATTGGTAGATGTCGGACTAAAAGTAGTCAAAAGTCTGCTTCGACCAGCTCCTACGACCAGTCAGTGGATTGTTCTGGTAAAGATGCCTTAAAACCTCTGGAGTCTTCAGAGCAGGGAACCAGTTACTCTCCAAAACCTCCACCAGGCCAGGCCCCCAGGAAGCCTGTGGTATCAGCAAGGTAAGATTTGCTTTTCTTTTTTTTTTTTTGCTTTTTTTTTTATTTGTTTTTATTTCATTCATTCATGTTTTCTTTCTTATACACACAAACTGTACATATGTGAGTGTATGTATTTATATATGTAATGTTTTGTGAAGTCTGTTTTGTCATTGTTGTTTTTTCATTTCTCATCAAGATATCTTAACTGTTTATTGATCACTCTTTTACATTTAATCACTAATCACATTTTAGTAGTCCTTGTAAAGTATTTCATTCACTTTTCACTGTTTTTCACAAACACAGCTTTTGGCTGATAAAAAAAAATCAAAAAAAATCAGCTTTTCCCAAAATACTTTCAGATGCAGGTTTCAGTCATTGGCTTAGCACAAGGCCAATTCCCTTGCAACTTGATCTTAAAAAATAACAAATTTCTTTACTTTTTTTTCTAATTTTTTTTTATGCTGAAATATTTGACATTATCAAATTCCCAGTTTGCAATTCTTTTGTTGTTTTCAGTCTCTTCAAATGTTATATTCTCTATTTCATCTGTTTTCCTTGTTAAATATTTGGTTGAAATGGCTTATGATGATTTTCTATGAAAGAAAAGGAAATAATGTTTGGTCTTTGTTTTATATCTTGACTAATATTTTTATTATATACATTCTAAACTGAATTCTTTGTGTAGAAGAATAAATTTAGAAAATTTTTAGATTTTGTGTTTTCAAACCCATAGAATAAAAATGTACTTTTTCTTCTTTTTTAATAAAAATTCTAGAAACTTAATGGATTAGAGCATCAAAAAAACAGATGCATTGTTGTGGTCATGTCTAAATTAAGAGAAAATTATTCCATTTAATGATATTATATTTAAATGTTTGCTTCCAAGCATTAAGACTTAAAAATAATTAATATATTTCAGGCAGGGTGTGAAATTCTGTTTATTCTTTATCAGTGATGTGCAGAGGTTTGGTGATGCCCAGAGCCAACTCCTTGATTGTGCCTAAGGCTCAAGTAGTTGGTAGCGTGGGGAGTTCTATAGATCTTAGTACTGAGAAATGTGAGAAAAGAAGACATTTTAAATATGTAAAAACAAATAAAACATGAAATAAACACTTTATTCAAATTAAATATAAACTAAATTTTGATTTCGCTGTTTGATTGGATGCCCTCTCAGTATGGATGTCCATGACCATCACACCTCCTGACCCACTCCCCTTCTGTACACTACTGTTCTTTATTTCTAAATCTCAAATAGAAACATTTTTGGTATCAGTCTCTAAAACTATTCACTTCTGGTGAATTCTACTTGAATTCAACCATGGATACAGCAAGAACATCTCTGTGTTTCTAAAACCATATGTTAAGTTTTTAAAATATCTCAGAAGATGTGGTATTATAAGAAAGATATATTTTTGGTTTGCAATTACCATGTTTATCTTTTATAGTTCTTAAAATTTGGACATTGATTTCATTTCTAAGAACATTTCTAACTATTGTTATTATCAGCATTATATCTTTTTAATTTTTTTTTGTAAAATCTTTAATACATTAGCAGTAGAAATATTTTATTCTTAAAGAATATCACAGTTAATTTAAGGAAATAAATATTCTCCCAAAACTATGATCTACATTACAAAGTTTTTAGCTTAATGAAAAAAAGTATTTTCCAAAACAAATGGTTTTTTCAATATAACCTCTCCCTTGTTGATGCACTTAATTCAGGGGTTAATATAAATCACATAGAACAAACATTATACAGTGAATGTGATGGAATGGAATAACCTGTCAACCACATGAGTGACTACATTATAGGTAGTAACTACCTATAAGTTGCTGTAAGTGAACTGACTACAGAGACTAGCTGGAATCTGTTGAGTACAACTCAGACTTCCAATGGTAACATGCACTACTGGATTGACTTGCAACAACCTTGTGCATAACTGTTACTTTTATTTTTATTGTACTGGTTTTTACAATAAACCTTTACTTATTTTATCCACCTTGTTTCTGAAGTATATATTCCTATTAGCACAGAATATAACAGAATGGTTGTTGACTACCTTGAGCAGCAAGCACTATGAATTTTGATTGGCTTGGTCCACTACTGATATCCTAACTGCCATTACTCACAGAATCAGTGAGGCACTAAACAACAAATATTGTCTCAAGGACAATTGTATTAGATATTTCAAAGGTCTTTGACAAGCTGTGTCATAGAGGGTTACCGCACAAGCTCTCTAGCTATGGAATCACTGGAGGAGTTTTCTCAATTATTAAGTCCTTCCTTAATAGGAAGGTTCCTGAATGTAATTGCTAATGGCCAGTCCTCTGAGGCCTAAGTGACTAATGCAGCCATCCCCCAAGGCTGGCTTCTCAGTCTAAATCTCTTTCTACTCTGCATAAATGATCTGCCTAAGAGTATTCTCTGATCATTTGTGAATATCTATGTTGATGATACAATGGTATATGAGTGCACCACCAAAACAAGAGTTTGGCAGCTGATCTCTCTTCTGACTTAGCTTTAACAGCTTACTTGGGGGAAAAATGGCTGATCATGTTCAATGCCTTGAAAACCAAACTAGTGACATTCCATCATCACCAAGCAAACCCTGAATTTTCACCTATTGCATTGAACGGATATTGTCTCAGGTAGGCCTCAAGCCTTGAGCACTTATCTGAACTTAAATTCAACCCAGACCTCAAGTGGAATTTGTATATATAATTTATCACTAAAAATAGTAAGAAAATACTATTTCCCTGTATCACTCCAGTAAGTACCTGACTCCTGCTATCCTCTATTGTTACAAAAGCCAAATCAGGTTGAAAATGGAGTACTGCTACCCAGTCTTCACTTTCCAGTCTCGATAGAGTCCAAAAGTGTCTCCACATTCTTGTGGGTGATGAATTATTTTCCACCTTACAATCCCTTTTCCAGACAAAACATCAAAAGCTTATTGCTACTCTGTCACTATTTCCATGTGAAGTTTTAAGACAAACTACATTCATTAGTTCCACCAGTTCTAACCTTCATAGCTAACACCCATCATGCTACACACATTGTAGTGAACCATCTTCATTCTCTTTGTATTCTGATCATTACAATCTTGTTCAAGTTTAGAGTTAACTGTTATCTTCCCCACATCTCCTGATAAACTGTCCCTCTTGGGCCTTGTACAGAGTGAGCATCATTGTAAAAAAAAAAAAAAAATAGCTCAAAATGCAACTATGTGACAGGCAGTCTTGTTGCCCTAAAAGGTCATTTATGTATAATAGTATGATAATGTGCTTATAGACTGAACATCAAGAGATCAAAATTGCTGAAGAATTCTTATATTTTCTGAATTCTATTGAAAATTCTGTTTTTATGTTATGTATTTGAAATAGTTTCTCTGAGGTCATAGATGAATGATTTTGTATTGGCACAAGTTGCCCACTCATAAGGAAACTCTCAATATACATCAAATAATGTCAAGGTATATTTACTGTTTTGGTTTTGTCAATAGATCAAAAAGTAGCAGATTTAAGTCTGTTTCTCCAATAAACAATAACACACAAACACACATAATCTTTCATTGCACTTAGTGAATGAAATGGAAGAGAAGCAAACAGAAAAATATATAGATGCTGTCTTTAGAATGTTGATTCTGGTTTTCCAGCTTTTATGCTTTATTATTTGGTATATGCAAAAGTTTACAAATTTTTTATAAAAATGCCAGTTTTCTCCTATATATTCAGTCTTTAGTTTTTTGAGAAAACCAGATTCTGGGAATTTTTTTTGCACATGCCTAACACATCTGTTTTTGTTTGTTGTACATAGAAGTTCTGTAAATACAAATCTAACCTGAAATTGATATATCCTGCTTAATCAAAGTGCATTTTCTCATAAATTTGATAACATATCTGAAAAGTTTTGTATTTCCAATATTTATCAGTTTTCAAGGTTTGAGCAACTATTCCTTTATGAAAACAGATTATTTCAAAATTCAATTCTTTGATAATAACCTTGGAGAAAAAATTCTGAACTAACTTGTTACACAGACATAATTGATCAAATCCTAAATAATTCTGATGCACAAATCATTAGATTCTGATGATGCAGTACTGTTTGTGTAACTTGGGTAAAGTAACAACTCCAAATTTAAAATTGAGTTAATCTAAGAGAATCAAATTTCACTGTAATTATATCAGTAGAAATTGTCTTTGCTTATAAAAGTATTATTGGCAACAATATATTTGTTATGCTACTGCACCTTTTTCCTTAGAATATTTGCAGTAGGTGAAATATATGAACATTTCTTTTCCATCAAATTATTTGTTCAAATATCTAAACCCCTGCAAGTATTAAGTGTATCTTATCCACTTGAGAAATAATTTTTTGCTTTATAAAAAAATGTTTCGTAGACTCAGCAAAAGAGTTTTTATTTCCTGTCACCATCTCTTGCTGATTTAAATACAACTCTTCAATACCAATGGAAATATCTTTTATCCTACATGAACCTTCTTGATGCTGGAGAAGATAAATGTTCTTTTTTCTCTCTCTGTGTTAAATATGCAAACAAACTGTAATAAAATGAGTTTGGATAAACCATGAAGAATGAAAGGCTGGCTGGTTGGTTGGTTGGTTGGTTTGATTGATTCATTTTCTATGGCTTATCAACCTTTTACACATTATTAAAGATTTTAATATTTTTAGAGTGTAAGAATTTTTTTTTTTTCAGGGGGTATAATAATGATTTAGTGATACAAGTTTTACTAATTAAATCATACCTGGGATGAGAAGAAGTGGATTCATACCTTTCCCAAAAGAATTTGCATGTAAGTGAATATAACAAACTGAACTGGAATTGGAACTTGGTTCTTTGATTAACAATTTTGAGTCATTATCCATTATACCATCCACACATCCAAACTTACAGCACCTGATATTCCCAAATGGTCACCTATCAAGGTACTGACCAGGCTCAATATTGCTTAACTTCGAAGGCTGGAAAAGGATTGGATGATAAATGCAATGATGTATC